CGAAGGCGGTTGCATATTTTTCATCTTTTCTGCTTCCAATTAAACTAATGACTCTACAACCTAAAAAGAATACTGATATCTCATCATGGTTTGGGTTCCAAATGAGCTGAATGGATGCATGGAGTTTTCGTATTTTTCCCCATTTGTAAGGCTAATACCAATTTCTTTCAAAAATCCCTTTACTAAGGTATTTTTCACAGACAGATAGTCCTGGAGTTCTTAAGCAAACTGCCAGCTTGTAGTTTTGTTTTCTATTATGTAAACTCTGGTTTCTCTAGTACATTTTGTATTGTTTGTGAACTACTGGTCACGCTTATTTAATGAAAACATATAGTCTTGCTTCTTACATCTGGGAAAAAAAAACAAGCAGCAGATTCTTTCAATGACTAAAAACTAAAAAAGACCCTCAACAGAATATACGAATTGATGTTATCACGTTTTCGCTAGACAGATTTCTACAACCCTTCTATTTTAAATTATTGCATTTCTATTACACTTCTTCTAGCTTTAAGCAGAAAGCAAGTACTTACATATTTTTCTTCGAAGAGGTGTAACGTTCACAAACATGCTGAATTAACAGAAGGCTCAATAGTCGAGGGGACATGGTAGTTTGATATCAAATAATTATATTTTCATAAGGAATGAGTAGACCATGCACCTAACTCTGTAATCGTAAATGAATGTTATATTACTGCTAATGAAAATAATGAAGAGAATTTATAGAATGAAATTAACTAATAACTTTTCCTTTAAATATTGTAATTCAAAATTGGTAGCTGTTATTAATATGATTTGCCTAATTTGCAAAATATATTTGCTTAATCTTCAAAAAATTTCCCACTCTAGAAATTTGACTACAATAAGAAAAGGATGTTACCAAAGAAAAACGAATCACTCACTATGCATAGGATATCAATGGAAAATAAATGTAAATGAAAGTAATTAAAGTCCAAAATTTGAAAAATCGTACTAGTCTAATCTAATATAGAATAATTGAGTATAAATTTGTTGGAAGTAAAATGCAAACAAGTCCATAGTTAAAAAAAGACTTATGCAGATTATTCAAGATATCAAGATTTAAAGGACTACCTGGCATGAATAATTAAACCAACATCGAAAAATTCCATTGGTTGTTAATTTTGTAAATCCACTTTTGCTTTTCTGTATTTATATGTGTGCAGCATTATGCTAAAAAGCAACGAAACCAAATCTTGGCCATTGAACAAGGAAGAAAATATTAGCGTTTCACCCGTCAGCGTCTCGCTCACATCTGATTAAGAAGATTTAACGAATTAACGTCCACGTAGTTCAAAATTTTTGCGGAAGCTTGCCGCGAATATATTAATTACTTAACGCTCTTAGTGATAAAAGGACTCTCACGCAAGCACACACACACACATTCAGATTTTACTACATCAACGTGATTTGCGGCAGAGTCAATATTTAACTTGACAAAACTTCCCATGTTATGCACTTTAATTTCTTTGTTAAATGATGGCCCGCAGGTCGGCTAGACCCAAGCTTACTATCAAGTAATTAGATAGTGTTGTCCAAATTCTGCTTGTTGACCTACGACAGTTTCAATACCCAAGAGATATTTCTGTCTAATGACTGGTTTTTCTTGAGTTTATCAACTTCATTTGGAGCTCTTATAAATTTTGAATGTTATCTGCTCATAAAAATTTCAGCGCTCTTATAATTTATTATATTATAGCCCAACACTACATCTCTAGCGCAGTGTTTGATTTTTATCAGCCTATTATAATAGAATATGAAATTAGGGAGATGTATTATTATTACAGTTCATCAGCAAGCAGCGTCCGGTAATGTACGTTAGTTTATCAATGCATGTTTTCAAATGTCTATGCTCATTATCAAACGGTATTCAATGTTTCATTTCAAGAACTTTGTTATATAAATTGGCAGATAAAATTATAAAATAATGATATTTTTTAATAATTTAATTTCCTAACAAAATCTCCCTTTTTACCTTCTGAACATCTGGAAACACTTCATTTAATATGTTAAGCTTATATTTGCAATTGCTTCGAAAGCTTATCTACTTGAATCACCCAGTATTTATTCAGTCCTCTGGTGATTAGAATACTGTTGATTTTTTTTGGAAAGTAACTGAAACTTAGTTACTTCTTTAACAAAGTTAAAGAAGTAACTAAGTTTCAGTTAACTTTGTAAGTAACTAAGTAAACTAAAGTAATTAAGTAAACTTTAATGTTCGTACAGAATGTTTCAGAAGAATACTGAATTATAACATTCTGAAAGTATTAATGTCTAGAAAGTTATTGTTAAAGTTCATTTATTTAAATGCAAGATTATCCCTTAACTATTTTCAGATACGAATTAAGAAATTCATCGAACTCGAAATTTAAAAACAAAATTCCATCTTCTTTTTTTTTTTTTTTTTTTTTTTTTTTTTTTAGTAACATAAAGTAAAATGCATAGTGATGCTAGTACTTTCGTAAGCGATTTAAGAATTAAATTGAAGAAATGTTTAATAAAATACTCATGCTGATATCAGTAAAACTGTTAATGCTGACAACGGAATTAAAAAAAATCAATATATTAGTAATCTAAAATGTTATTAAATTTTTCATTAGATGTTTACATTACTTAATTGAATAGACCAAAATCAGTTTTTCATGAAAAGCTATGCTTGTTTATTTTTTAAAAAAGAAATTACTTGGAACATTATGAAAATATTCACTGAATTTTACAAAGATAATAATAGTTTCTCATTTTATATTAATTTAAATTACGTTAGGGTATAAAGCTGTGTAAAAGTAATGCGTTTGCTCTATCAAATAAAGTCTATAAATAATAAAGTTAAATAAGCAATCTTGACTCATGTTCAAATGGTAAAAGACGGAGGGAAATATTTCAAAGTTTTTTCCAGTTTAAATATTCCAGTAAAAATATTAAATAGCGTTAAGTTTTATATTGTCTTTAATACGATCAACTGCTAAATTACATGTACACATAGAGAAGACTGTAATCGATATGTCTTTTATAAGTACACTAAATGTAAAGCTTAACATTAAAAGACCCTGCGAACTGTATTATGAAACCTTGAAGAAAGTTACTTTTTTGTTAAATGAAATTGACGCTGTAGGAAAACGTAAGAAATATCAAATGTAGAAAACTATCAGTATTTATAACTGCTATGTTTTCTCACAAATTTATTTTATTTTATTTTTGCTTATTTGTTAATTTTGTTTAAAATCAACTGTTAATGATTAAAATATTTTAATTATGATATTCATGCCACAAATTTAAATTTTTACTGTCTTGTATAATTTCTTAGCTGAATTCATCGTGAATATAAATGATCACGCTACTTCAACTAAATTTCTCATGATATCCAAAATAGGAAAAATGCGAGTAACGTCTATGTCCGAAATCCAGTATGCCACTTCATGAAGATTTGATTTATAATTTTTATGTGAAGACATGAATAGTTTCCTTGGAACATTTGCATTTTAGAAGGAAAATATAATGGTTTTCTTTAAGTGCATTAATGCATCCGAAATATCACTGTGTTAAGAATTTGAATATTTTTAACTCTTAAGTCAATGAAAGCGTTTTATTTCCTATTTGATAGCAATAACATTGTTAGAATTATGTTGCCCTGATAAGTATAGCGTTTAGTCGTAGGCTTCTGTATCTTTAGGTGCAGGCTCGGATCCCCAACAAAGCTTGGATGTTTCTAAGTGTGTACTGTCAACATGAGGGTACTTAAAATACTGAATAGCTGAAATTCCTATTAGAGGATTAATTTTAGGGAAAGAGGGGCAAACCCTTGGATCCGTGCCACATGGTATTCTTCAAAAAATTGGCGAAGAATTTGCCCCATTCTTGAGGGTGTAAAATTGACTGCTTGTAATGTGCCTCGGACAACGTACTCAGTGATGAGACAGCTAAATGATAGATGGGTTACAGCGATTTCTGATCAATATTTTTAAGTTTTTTGATCCGGGAATTTCGAGCAATAACAACAATAGCGCAGAATAATTGTTTAGAGAGATTGGGCACCTTAATATTAAAACGCTAGGAATGAGAAAATTTATAGCAGGGTGTGGCGAACTTAAATTATTAAATAATAATATAGGAACTATGAGTAATATGACATTTTAAATATTGTTATACCTACTTAAATTATACTTTGATTTTCATTATTTTGAAACACATTACCAGAAACTGTTTTAGCACACAAAATAAGCGAAACTTAATCCAGTTTCTATATCCGTATTTCTACAGTTGAGCTAATATTATAATCAGTCAAAAAATCGACTGCCTTAATCAGTATTAAAACGTCTTGATATACATCACCTATAAAGAATTGGTGCTTTTTATATGACGTAATTAGTAATTTATAAAAGCATTTGCATGTAGTAAGGTAATGAGTTTTATCTAATCATGATTTGCATTGTACATATTTGCTTCCTGTTAAACGGTACGGAAACATTGCACCAAATATCTTTTTTTCTGGGGCAAGCAAATGTTTTCCGTCTATGATGTTCTAATTATAATTTAATCCCATATAAAACTAAGTGAAGAAGGAAAAATGGAAATGAAATGTAAAAACGGAGAAACTGTCATATACAAAGTTCTTAAAGGAGAATTAGCTTATACTATAATAATTGTTATAATTTAATTTGGAACATGTTTATCCGCACATAGAATAATTTAAGTGTTAATATAATAAGTAATATTTGTTTAGCTGTGTAAAAAATAACTAAAAGAACTATTTTAGGAGAGATAAAAAACTTGTCACGTTTAAAAATCATGTTTTGCTTTAAAAATAATGATTAACTTGAATTTTCCTTATTTAACATACGCTCTTAAAAATGGAGAGAATATCTATCGAAATATTTCTACTGGTTTAAAATCGCATTACTATAAATTCAGTATTTACCTGTATTTATAAATTACCTAAAAAATAAGAGTAATAGAGAGCACATTTTAATAAATATTTTTTATTGCAGTGCCTCTTTCGGATTCTTTCTTCTGCTGCTGGTTCTGGCATCAACGAGAACTGAGGGAAGTGAGAGATCACGCCAAAATGTTCGGGGACCACCCCTATCATTCGTTGAATGGCTCATATTCTTTTGGGTGATAGGTAAGTTTTACCATTTCATGACGTAAGGCTTTCAGTTTCAAAACAATTCGTTTTCTTTACAATGCATAGAAAATGTTTGGATGTATTTCTAAATTTATTATCTTACCGATTTATCTCGATGCTTTTTAAACCTACACAATTCAAAAAACATTAAATTAAGTATAGTTTATATTTTTTGGCTGCAATAAAAATTAATAAAGAACTACATTAATATATTAATCAAGTTATTTTTCCTTTATTAATACGTCATTTTGTTACATATATTTTCTTGATATATAACATTCTTGATATATATTGACAGCATATATTTTCTTGATGCCCTTAAATATTGTTGCATTACGAAATAGCATAATATTTATTAATAAAGCATCTTCAATCTTCATATGCTAAATAAATTCACAGAGTGATTATATGTGTGAGCTATTTTAAATACTTCTTACAATTCTCGATCTACGTCAACATTTTAACCGCCTAGAAATATTTGAGAGGTCTTGCGTAACATATCTGATGGAATTTCATCGATATAATTATTATCGTATACAACGTCTGGCCCATTAAAGAAATTATCAATGTTGCGAAATTATTTTAACTCTCAGAATTTTATAAAGTGCGTTTTCATCTGTAGAAGGAGTTTTCAAAGGATGTGCAGTGGATCACTACAGAGATGCAAAATCGTGTAGCTGTGCCTCAAGAGAACCAAAATATTTTAAAACGGGATATATCGTTGCTGTCGTGACTTATCTCACTTGTCTGACAGTAACATCAGAACAAGCCCACGCAATTCATCGTGACAAGGAGAGCAAGATGGGCAAGAACCTTGAACACCATACTTACGTGACAGTACGACTTTGTTCCGACCCCAGTTTTGGATGGAGAGCACCCCGAGGGGGACGGGTCTGAAGGTCTCCCACCCCTCTTTTATCTACCACCAACCTTTCGAGAGGACTTTCGGCTCGCCGCATAGTTAGAGTGCCTGCATATCGCATAACCGTTATACATTTACAAACATCCATGCCTTCTCCGGGATTCGTTGTGTAACGTGTATACGAGCCAGTTTACCTTAGAAAGTCCTCCACGAAGGCATCCCTCCTCTTAGGCAGATAGCCCTCGAGGCTTTTCCATACTCACACACACACACTCTCCGGGATTCGAGCGCGGGTCCTTCGGTACGGCAGTCAGCGTCGCTAAGCATTATCCCGGTTGGGCAACACTAGTTATGCAATGGAGCAATAAGTAATCCTAAAATAGCTTGGTCAAACAGAAAATGTGCAAAATCTAGGAGGCAGAAATTTAAAAATTTTTTGAACCATTGGTCTGTATCCAAAGCATTGTGTTTTCAGTTGCAGAAAGCAAAGGTAAAAACATATGGCTCTGACGATAAAGCATAAGGACATGACCTTATTATATATCCTTATGGAGCAGCTGAAGGCACCTTCGCTGTTCAGCTGCAGCCCACGCTCGAATTTTGGCATTGATTTCATAAATTTCCAGAATTTCTTTCTACTGACTAGTGATTAAATTAAAGATACAAAGTCAAGGAAAAGTCGAAATCTTATCGACTTTGTAAGTGAATGTATTTCTTATAGTTAATCTATAATAGTTACAACGTAATTATAGTTACAATTTAATTCATTTGCAAATAAGAATATAGACATTTCACTGTCGAAAGGTCCTGAGGGATTTCTGCCGGTCTCTTATTTTTTCTGTATTGTTATTTATTTCTTATTTTTTCTTTCCCTTGTACAAACAAATTGTGATACAAGAGCAGAAGGATCACTTGACAGTTCAATAGACTATCTTTTCTTCATCAAACTGCTTCACGTAGAATGAACTGCATAAGAAGAACCTGCCAAAAGTGGCATAAAAAGTACTACATTTTTATCCTTCGCCTCAGAAAAGTTAAAAAGAATGAAAAAAGTAATCTTAGTGCTACAAGAAGAATAAAAAGGAAATCTCATCAACTCTAAGCTATTGTAACTGCAGTAACCACACTCAAAGTATATCAGTCTAGCCTTTTTTTAGGAATTCGAGTACGAAAGATACGTTGAAAAATGTTAAGTACCAGCTCTAGAGCTAGTTTTTTACTCTTCGTATTTGAAAAAATACCGGAAAGCTGACAAGGAACCATTTTAATGGTAATGTTACTTTAAAAGCTAATTTTATTGAATGCTTTGAATTTTGTCCTTTTCCAATAAAAAGATGAGTTTATACATCTTTTAAAATTTCTCTGCCTTGTAATCATTGTCTGTCTCCTTTAAACAACTTCGAAAGCCATATAACTCATAAATCCCTATACGTTGGCTTTTGAATAACAAAATATTTATAAATTTTTTAGACAGTTGCGTAGCATTTTCACTGTCGGGGTATAACAGCTGAATCATAATTTAATGAAAAAATAATTTATGTCACAAATAATTTTAAACAATATTACATTGATTAAATTTCTGCACAAGGTAATTGTGACAAAGCGGTTTTAAATTCCTGTTACTATATATTACGTTTTTCATACCAAATGTGTCTGTTACTTACGAAATTTTTATCCTCAATGCTCTCAGTTTTTCGCATTCTTTTATGTTATGCTACTACAGTATTAATCATCTACGGATCTGACAAACTGGCAGTTTTCAGAACTTTTGACAGCTTTTGCCCCAAAAAATCTCTAATTTATCTTTCCAGCAAAATTGCTAGTTCTAAAAAGTGTTGCCAGTCTTGGAGCAAAAACGTTTTAATTACTCTTTAAGTAACAAACTGAGCGATTTTAAATGTGTACAACTCAAATGACTTCAGCTTTATTTAATTTTTAGTAACTTGCTATCACTTTATTATCTACTTGATATAAATTCTAATGTATTTTACTGATCATTTTATAAATACTTCCATCTTTCATTGTATTCACGAAAGATGCTTATAATGCCGTATATTATGATTTGAAAGAGTGGATTTCAGTTTAGTGTACATTATAAAGCCTTGGTTTTCTGTAGATTGCCGAAAACGAATTCACTGTTATTTTCTGTAAAAAGCAGTTTTGAAAGCAGTAAATTTTTGCTATAGAGTAAAGATGTAAAGGATTTTTTGACGATACTTAAACATAGAATTTTTTCTTAAGCACAATTTTTCGATGTTCTTTTTATTTTAAATTTGTTTAGGGTTTCAGGTTTATATTTTCATTTTTTTAGGTTTTTATGAAACAGACCTGAATGCGTGTTTCCTATTATTTCTAAAAATTGAATGGAAATATATATTATATATATATATATATATATAGATGAGTATATACCTGCAGTGACCTGCAGTGAGGTTGCAGTGACCTGCAGTGAGGGTTGCAGAGACCTGCAGTGAGGCCCAACCTGCAGTGAGGTTGGGCCAAAGCGTGAAAAGATGCGTTATGATCAGGGAGAAATCTTAATTCAGACTGAATTAGTTTTGGTTCGCAGTGCATTTTGCTTGGATAGTTAATACTGCTGTTAAAATTGCTATTGGCTGTTTGAGTTTTAGTTCCATTTTCATCATCAGAATTACGTAAGAATCATATGACATAGAATAATCTCGCAATGATGCAGTGCAAATAGAGATTACTACTTTTAGAATATAGAAAGGCATTTAAGCTGCTAATTTAATCTTTTATATATATATAGAGAGAGAGAGATAGATGACCTAAAATTCATTGAATTCGAAAACAAGTTTTTCTAATACTTGCGCAATAGCTGCAAAGTAAGATAATAATAATTTATTTACTAAATCAATATAAATTATATACATATACAAATACATAACAATCTAATATGTAAAATTTGTAAAGGGGATTTATAACCGAAAAGAAAAGTTGAAAGAGAAGAAATCAATAACTCAAAGAAAAAAAGAGGTAACTTTAGCTAAGTTCAAAAGTTTTAAGGACTAATTCTTTTCAATACTTAAAATTGGGCTGTGTTTATACTAATCAGTGAAATGGATTACCTCATACCTCATATCTTTGTAAGTTTTAAAATACCCGAAATGTTATATTAAGTGATGAAATATTTGAAATAAGTTTGACATAAATAGAAATAAATCTTACTTTGCTGAACCTAGCTCTGCAAACATGATGTCAAACAGAATCTTTTGATAACTCTGAGCTTACTGGCTACAGTCCTATTCCTTCCCTCCCTCCCCCAACCTAAATTCAGTAAACTTCATCATGCTTTTCTTTAGAGATGTAGATAAGAGATAAAAATGAGAAATAGTTGACTGAAGATTTAAAATTCGATAGAATACTTCAGAGTTGGCTAGTTTCATATCTCCTGCAGCTTTATGCAGAAAAAAAATTTCAGAGTTTGCTAAAAACGTATTGATAGGCCAATTGGCTACCAGCCAAGGGACTGTTGCGAGTAAATAAATTCAAGTACAGAAAACATTTTTCTAATTTTACAAAATAAAAACTCTTTGGACTTATTTAAATACATAAAATTCGACAGTTGGGTAGCTTATTGGAACTTTGTACTAAGGATGTGCTACTACAATGCACATAAGGAAACTTATTATATCTCCTCATATGAACGTTATTTTACATGTGTTCAACATTTAATAAATTATTTTGTCTAGCATTCTGTCATATGCAAGTCAAATAGCAAGAACAAGAAAGTATCGATATACAAGAAAACAACAAGAAAGTATCGATATACTTGAAAACAACAAGAAAGTATCGATATACTTGAAAACCAAATGATGTTGTCGAACGATAAACAATGTTTTTGTTAACCATTGAAAGGTTCTCACAAAATGCTTAGACTCCTGTAAGCTGTCCGAAAAACTTTACTTTGTTTCTACTTGTCCTAAATTTGTGGAAAACTTGAGAAATCTGACTAATAAAAAGCTAAATTTCTTTAGTTAGAAATTTAGTTGGAAGCATTTGCATTCTTCAAACTACAAATGATAGATTTCTAAGTTCATTTGTAGATCCAGTAGCGTAGCTAGAGCTTTTGACGCCCGAAGAGATCCCTGTGTTTTCCGCCTGTGTAGCTCTT